TTTGCAGCATGCATGCCCCCATATACTAAATATATCATGTAACAACACCCCATTTGAAAAGTGTTTTTGGTAACTCAGAATTTACGTTTTCAAGTATTCTACACAACAAAACCAGCATAACCTCTGCAAAATAAAAATCAAGTTAGGTAAGGATCTGGCGGTACAGACAGGTTTGCATATCAAGCATTAAAGTATTTTGAAATTATAATATTATAATAGCTAAAGCTTCACTTAAGCATTTATTCCACAGCAAACTTTCCCCACTTCTCCATCAACAGTCCTCTCTTTAATTTTGTTTTCTTCATTCTTTATGTACACTGGTTATCATAAACCCTGACATATCAAAGCAGCTTTGCAGCGTGTAAAGCTATGAAAATTAAGGATATTTAACAAATATTTGTAGTGTTTGCCAAGTCAAAAATAAGGATTTTTTACAGTTAGAGGAGTGTATAAATGTGTACATATACCTCAATATCTATGTATTTATATCTATCCTCCACACAGCTCACATGAGAGTCCAGAGCTGCGTGCTCAGGACACATGGCAGAATTGTGACCCAAACAAATAAATTTTTGAACTCAATACACAGTTGAACATATGAGCTTATAAGGTAACAGTTCTAAAAATAATTTCACCTAAACTAAGTTATACATTAAGGTCACATTGCTGCTATAAGATATAAAGCACCCTATTAAAAACAAAAAAGGCAAGAAATCAAGTGTTGTTTCAGTAGCTTAAAAAAAAATAAAAATTAAAAAACTCAAACCTACAAGTCTATAGTGATCCGCAACACCTAATCTATCCATCAAGTCCTGACTTCAAGGAGGCCAAAATGTTGTCATTGTCATGTTCTGCTGTGTGGTTCTGTATCTCCAGGTTTTAACTAATAGAAAGGCACAATCAGCTGGTGTGCATTGTATAGGTCAATTTATTTCCAATACTCTAATTTATGCAACATAAGCACAGAATTCCAGCTACAATTCTCTTACTGTTTGCACTCTAGGAGTAGACTTGTATTTTCTGCCAACTCCATTACATCATCTGAAAAAACCCAAACACTTTTTTTTTTTCCTTCCCCAAATCCCTGCCACTCTCCTTTTCCTTTTCCCCTCTCCCTTCGCAAGCCCTTCCAAACCACACGCCAATTACTGCCGCGAGCTTTATTTCGCTTTAGAGCCTGCAAAGCCCCAGCGCGCAGGGCTCTGGCCATTGTGTTGCCGGGGATGCCTCCATCACTGACCTTCGCTTTCCCACTCAGACTGTTACATAACGCACTGCCTGCCTGCGTGCGGCGACTGGCAGCCCGGGCGAGCGGCGCCGTGTGCCCAGCCCCCTGCCCCTGCCCCTTCCCCAGCGAGGCCCGGGGAAGGAGGGACATGTGGGTCAGCAGGTTAGCAGTACCAGAGCCCGAACAATTCGGGACCGCCAAGAAAACAGCCTCACCGCCGGAGCCGCCCGGGCTTCCCAGCACCCCCCTCTCCTTTTCGCGTCCATACAGAAGCGACAGCCGAGCGTTACATAATTTATGGGATCCCAAAGTTGCCCCCCTCCCCAAAGGCGGCGTAGCCGGCTGCCGGCTCCCTGCCGCCGGCCCCGCTCCCCGGCAGCACCATCT